GCCGCTCGTACTCTCTCACTCGGCCGACTTCTCACCCACGGCCGTCGCCACCGCCGCTGTTCGTCGCCGGAATCGGCCCCTTGTGCCGATTGGTTTTGGTAGTTCTTTTCCTCTTTTCTTTTCTTCCGTCTATTCTAACTTTTGCGTGTCTAGTGCCACGTATATAGTGGATTGAAGTATACGAGAGAATTTGAGACGTGCGGATAATCGATAATAGCCGAGAGAATTTGAGTAGAAGAAGTGATTAAATAATAAAAGCGTACCTTAATTAAATTAATTTAAGTTACATTTATACTTTATTGATTGGGTCGAGATTAATTTATCGGGTCCAACCTTATTTGGATGTGATTGGGCCTCCGTAGATATAGCTATTAAACTAGGCATGTGGCCCAATATATATGGGTCTATTGGGCTGGGTCAATAGGCATATATATATATATATATATATATATATATATATATATATATATATATATATATATATATAAATTAAGGGCAAATGGCAAAAAGGCTCGGTGACAAAACTAATTAGAACTAAATGACAAGCTCAACTAAACATTTGCTTAAGCCCATCCCCATGTCTTTAGTCTAAAATACCCTCAATAATATAATTCTTATCAATTCCACCCATTATACTCTAACTTCCATAATATTACACATTGACCCCGAATTTAAACAAATATATCACATTAACCCCCAAAACTTTTTTTTTTCAGAAAATAAATTTTTTTCTAAAATATTTTTTTTCCGGCCAGATTCCGGCGTTGACTTTTTTTTTTTTTTGTTTTTTTTTTTTTAAACTTTTTTTTTTCCTGAAATTTTTTTCCGGCCGGTCAACCACCATTGACCGCCGGTCTCCGCCGTTGACTTTTTTTTTTTTTCCTGAATTTTTTGTTAAATAATTGCCGGAGACAGATAGCAACGAATACAGTAATATTAATTAAAAATGTTTTTTTAAGAATAAAAAAGTCAATTAACATTTAAATTATTGTCTCCGACAGTTAAATAACTGCGGGAGACAGTAATTTAGCAACGAATACGGTAATATTAATTAAAATATTTTTGAAGAAAAAAAAAACGAAAAAGTCAGTTAACAGTTAAATTACTGTCTCTGACAGTTAAAAACCTGCCGGAGACAGTAATTTAGCAGCCAAGACAGTAATATTAATTAAAAAATTTTTTTTAAGAAAAAACAAAATTATATATATATAAAAAAAAAAAAAAAAAAGTCAACGCCGGAGACCCGGTGGTCAACGGCAGTTGACCGGCCGGAAAAAAATTTCAGGAAAAAAAAATTTTCAAACAAAAAAAAAAAAAAAAAAAAAGTCAACGCCGGTCTCCGGTGGTGGCGGGTCAAAATTGAAATTAGGGTTAAAATTGGTTAATTGATGAAATTGGGCTAAATTGGGGTGTAAATCATGAAATTGGAGTTTAATTGGGTTTCAATGAATTGAGGGTAATTTTGGTATATATAAAAGGATTTTCCTTATTTGTAAATAAGTTTGAATGAATTGGATTTATTTGAAAGACAAAAAAGTTGGATGTCCCTCTTTTAATTAAGTGTCCTTGTCATGGGCCCATTTACTATTACCCCTATATATATATATATATATATATATATATATATAT